AAACTTAAATTATGTTTATTTAAATGAGAGACTATTGGCGGACAGTCTGGATGTCAGTAGGATTTATGGGCTCATCACTTGTCAGAATCCTTGGGCCATACAATAGGACATAAGCGCAGTGCCAGTCGCCTAAACAAGCATTCAATATTACATAATCGTTAACAATAGAAACAATTACGGGTAGAAACTGTTTGACACATACCTCCACCCGACAGCCTAAGGATATCATCAGCCTTGACAGGAGCGACGGTGTCGTCATCGCATTGGAACCACTCATCTGAGAGAATCAAACATATATTCAATATGCAAACCCGGGATCTAAAGCCTAGTATATAAAGCATACCCTCTTTCCTTCTGATCCAACCGACGTAATGACCGCTAGAACTGGACCGTCCCTTATGTGTGAGCACTGCCTGCAACTCATAAAAGCCGCTATTATTAGAGCCGATGTCGCCATCGAATGAGTAGTTATGCTTGTATTTGGGTTTGGATTCGTCGTCGGTTTGAGCGGTCAGTTTGGTCTTCGCTGCGGTTTCTTCGAGCTTTTTATCGGCCATTTCTTTGAATTTGTGACGAATGGGAATCAACTTCTCCTGGAGTTGAGGCGAACACAACTCAAACACATCTAAACTGAGCGTAAACTTAATGTCTTTGAGAATCTTTGCGTTCACAGAACCCCTCTCTTTGTATTCAAATCTGACGAATTGAATGGCAAGATATGCCGGCAAACGGCTTATTGTACTTATTTTCTCGTATTTCGCGTTCTTATCCAAAGTCGGCGAATACTTCTCAATCGTCTCCTTTAGTCTCAATTTAAGACCCGATTGTAAATACTTGACATCTGAAGGACAATAAAACGGCCATTATTTTAATAAACCAAACATATGTATGAATAATTCAATTACCCGTAGATATAAAACAACTCAATTGGAGAAAATTCTCTGTCGAATGGACCGGCGGTTCGTCTTCGCATTCACTGCACTTCATCTCCACATCAAAGCTTCCGCTGAAGTACTGGTCAATGAAGTTATTGCCAGAACCGGTGTTTATGCGGAGCTTTTGCTGAAGCATACGAATGAGTTCAGTCCAGCACTCGTTGGCGTCCTGTTGTATATAAACCCCTCCCTCGCCCTTCT